TACTTTTATAGAGACAAGCAACAGATTAATAGAATGTTTCTGGTTTAATAGCAACACGTGAAATATCTCAGGGATTGTTCTAATGATGATACATCTCAAGACAAAGAGTATTAGATAGACAAATATAGGGTGGATACGTATACTCTTGAGATTATAGTACATTATGACCACTTCCTCTTTAATGGCTGCCCTTTTCCTGCACATTTCTTTATCTTATTAAAGCACGTCTTATATAAAAATCGCTACTTCCTAGACACACTTGCGTTTCATGGAATACTAGGAGATATTAAAATATAGAGAAAACTAAGTAGCTCAAACTTCAGATTATTCGTTTCGGGCTCCTCATGGCTTCAGGAGGATTCCTGCTGATGTCATCCCTTCCTTAACAGCCTTTACCGTGAACAAAATCAGGATCTCCTTCTATTCTTACGGGATCGTGTTTCTGGTGCTGCATTTTCTAATGGTCTCGAAGTCATTTCACTCTTTAATTCATATTTTACTCCACTGGGAAACCAGGGATATGATGTAACGGTCCCCTATGCCCAGTTGAAGATTTCACATGATTTCCCTCTTGCTAAATACTTCAATAGGCTGCAATGATGCATACATCTGTTAAATCACTATTCTGGGGACGCCTACCCCTAACTACGGGTATTACTGTTCACATAAAAAAAATCCGGCATTCTGTATGGTACGGCGCCCCAATATATTATCTGTGGATATCGGCACCCCCCATTCCCGATGCCGCTATTACAGAATTCCTGAGACATCGTATTCCTCCAGAGCAGTATACACTTTTAAGTACCAGCACTAGCTGTATCTACACAGTACATCTGCAAATACTCTTACAGGATTTATAAAATGAAGAGAGCGACATTTAATGGATACAACTTCTAGTGGTATAAACAATGCGTATGTTATAGACACATAAAAAACAGTTGTATTCAGGGAAGTCATTCTATTCAGATACACTGCCGCCCTCGCGCTATTTATATTCTTGAGAGAGGTTAATCCCTTAATAAGGAACGCGTTGAATCTGATATAATTAATCACTAAGATACAATCTAATCCAGAATTAATATTCCCTACCCAATCCAGATCAAGAAAGCCCCTGTTTGTATGTAGAGAGACTATCCGTGAACATATGATAATACTTCCAACGTAATGGATGATTTGAAGCCATAATAAGGCTCACCAGTGCTGAAACTGGAGAAGTTTGATGTGTGCATCACAAGTGATCTTTACTTTGTGATTTCCACTTCTCCCCTTCAGATAAGAAGAAGCATGAACGCAATCAACATACAGAAAAGTACCCCCAACTGTTTCTATATTTTCTTTCGTATCTATTCTGCTGATATTAGAGAGGAATATGACAAATCTTGTAATGGAATGTTTCTGGGGCCTGCTCATCCTTTTACGTAGCTAGACCAGCTGCATAGGAGAGAACCCCTCTTGCTACATCACGGGTTGCATAAATATTAGGAGGTCCATCTTTTGGTCTCGGATTACGCTGCCTGAGCACCCCTCGAAAAATTCTCTTCAGTTGAAATCCAGGATCCTTGTGAGTAAATATATAACTATATTAGTGAAATAATAGTGAATATTTGGCGTTATCATTCATGCTGGCGTGCTCATGTAATGGACTCTCCTTGTCTTTCTCTACCCTCCTGACGCTCCCAGTGCTCATTACCGTCGCCTCCTGGAGAAACACGAGTCAGGGCACTCCCGATCCCATATATGCCAAAGAATGACGGCTAAGATTAACAGAGGGAAGATAGGTAGAGCCCGTAACCAGACACTAATGTTTTTCTGAGGTATATTAATGTTTCTGATGTCCACCCAACGCTCCCTCTTATAATTAGGCGCCCTGTCCTTTAATCGCGTACGCATAAAGTAACCTCTGCAATCATAATGGATATTACTAGTCTTTTCCACTCCTGATGGACAGGCTTGTGAGAATATTCCTGATGCCGTGAACTCTGGAGGAGCCTGCTGAATAGCGGCACAGGCTTTAGTTTTCACTGTATCCTGTAGTGTTGTCCACGGTGTTTTTATTCCTATGGCATCTGTCACTTTCTCCCAATTAATACAAGGGTTAGCAACCCCCGCACAAAACCACACGTTCATTATGCAGTGGACCAGTTGACGTATTAGATCCTCCCCTGGTTCTCTCCTTCTGGATGCTTCTCCTTCCACATAGCTTCGTAGATATCGAAGCATGTCTCTGAAATCGTCCTCATGATCTTGCGGAGCCAGCTCCTGAAGCAGGAAATTTAGTTCTTGATAATTGCTTCCATCAGTCGCTCCTGTGTTAATTGCCTCCCAGAATTTAGGGCAGAGGACATCCCACCTGATATGTTTTCGTGTTCTTGAATTTAATTTCCTCATTTATAAGTGATAAGTCGTAGAAGGAATTAAATGCGAATAAAACAATTATCTGCCCCATAACCCATGACTTACTATAACTGCTTTCTGTTAGAGAGGATGCGGTCATTTCTCTCATTCACTAATGCGTTTCATGTTCTGTTGAGAAAATTATGAGGATGCGCCTCAGTGTATGTTTTTTTCTCCTATGTATTCTATTGCATTATTCATCAATTTATCCTATCCCTAATGCGATGATAGCCATGAGGCCTTATGTTCCTGAATGTTCCCTTACTATTATATAGATCAGGCTCCTTAGTACAGGGGCAGTAACGCTTATCTTTAACCCTTTGCAAAATTATAGGCTTTATATTCTTCTGACAGGCGTGCTGTTGCGACATCTCCTGTTTCCTCTATCCTAATGTTCTGTATTCGGATCTTGTGCTTCTGCGAAATTCCTGGCGTCATTGACTCCTGTTTATATGCGAAGGCCCTGGGGTCTCTATGTAATTTATCGCCTGCGCCTTATTTCTCCTTCCCGAGTGTATGTATGACAAGGCGTCGTCTCCTGAAGTTAGTTTTCCTGATATTCCTATTATTATAAACGCCCGTATGACCAGGAAGCCCCCCTTTAGCTGCTCACTTTGGGCACAGATATATGCCATATATCTGTTCCTATCGAGTTGTATGGCGCATTTATAGGTTTCCCAGGCACTGGTGGTCCTGTTCTCGCGGCCTCCATCATTGCTCATCTTGATAGCTACTCTCTTGGAAAGGGAATATCCGTGTGCCTGTTTCGCAGTGGTTTCACTTTTCTTATCATCCACTGAACTTGCCTTTCCACTTCGGCTAATACGAGGCTTGGCTAAAAGAGTTCTCTGTAAAGCATAACTGCTCTTCTTTGAATGTGCCATATGTTCTTATGGATCTTATATATAAAGAAAAAGAAAATGCAGCAACCGCACTCTTTTGCTTCCTCTAATTATAATATTCTCCGTAAGATATAAAAAAAATATATATATACTTCTTATATGAAAATTACAGCTTGTGCAAAGGATAATAAATTAAATACTGCGATGAGCCAAATATACGTACATATATATATGTATATACATAGGTGTACACATATGTGTTTATTCATAAACAGGTTTCCGGATAGTACTGTTCATTTCGTTGCTACGAAATAGTGTAATTCTCAGAAATTATTACCTAGAGCATAAAAATTAACTCCTTTGTGAAAAATAAATGCAACTTGTAAGAAATTTGCACAAACTTATCTTTTAAGAAGAGTAAGAATTTATGAAAAAAACTCTAATGTGCAAACATATAAACATTGGAAATATAATATACTAATTTTTGCCCCTTTTCTTTCATTATTCTAAATTTATATTAAAATTTTTATCATAAAAGAAAAATTAATATTCGTATACCGCCAGTTCTTAATTCGGTAAACGAGAAAAAGGAAAATAAAAATAGAAGGGAATAAAATGACACAAATTTGTTAGTCAAAATGTACACATGAGAAGCTTCTTTCTTCTCATTTTGCACTTAAAATGAACTTCATTGAAATTTATGTCCTAACTATATCTATATACCTAAATTAATATTCTTATGCCTAATAAAGTAAATCAAAAAAAGGGATCAAATTATTAAAATAAAATACGGCACAATTAAGAAGAAATTACGTAACAGAACATATAAAAATAAGTTATCGTACGTTTTAAAAAAAGGCTCCTCTCAATTTGAACAAGGCTAATTCTTCAATTACTTAGATCGAAGAAAAAGGAAAGAAATGCATTCTTCGCCTATATTGTCCTTCGCCCAGAACATCCTATTTTTCTCGAAGTACACTGAACGCACAATGGAGACCCCAAATTTATTCTCACAGAGCATAAGTACAGATATATACATATATATGCTCATTTTTAAACTCAATGGAGAAATTTCTTCTCATAAGGAAAAATCACTACCTTCCCTTTATCAAAAAATAAAGAACGTATTCTCGAGGTATCGTTAATTGTTCTCGTTTAAGAGTTTCTGTTCTTCCCCCTTTTTACACAAATGTCTTATAACACTCGTATGAAACGTAACTTCCTTAATTCCATTTGAATGCACTAAAATACGCACGGGGAAAAGAACAGCACCTCCGATTATTTCTTCTTGGCAACTTCCGTGAAATTTCCATACCTTAAGCACCATGTTCTGCGTCTGTTCCACTTTCTCCCAAAAATGGGTTAGGAGGAACATGAAAGGGAAGGCACCAGGGCGCATTCTTATGAAGGCTTCTTTTCATAACTGTGTAGGCGCAAAAGTCTCAGTCGTGCGGGGTGTTACATATAGATAGATATGTATGTATGTCCTAACAATACTCCATCTTTCAGTCCTAGTCATTCTTTTCTCCATTGCGCACTGCAGTTCCCCATTTCTGTGTGTCACCGTTCGTTGGCTGCTGTACTTCCATTTTTTGCCCTTTCGGAAAGGAATCTTACTCAGTAATTATAAAGCGGCCCTTCCAGCAGAGACATCCTTACCTATTATAAATGAGACTAATTCTTCTTAAACAATGCATGCAAACTTCCTGCTAATATTTGTGCACACATATTTCTCGCCTGTTCCCACTTCTTTACTCTTTCTTAAAAATGCGCCTGTGGCTTCGGATGCACAAATAATACATAGCATACTGTATGACTCGCATTACACATAAAAATTACACTTTCGCCAAAATCTTCCTTTTCTTCAAAACTTCACAGGGAACAAACTCTGTACTAAAAATAAAAACTATGGAGTACTTTATTACGCTTATTGTGATCAATACGGTTGCCTCTTGAAATAAACTAAAACGGACGAATAAACGCTCAAAATGGTATATATCCATTTACTTATTTTTCTCCTTACCGTAAGAAAATTCTTTACATGAAGGTACCATACATAATTTTTTTACGACCACTTTTATTTATTCTCCTTGAAGGAAAAAACGAAAAAATCGGTTTTCCTTTTCTTAGCGTTATATTTTTACCCAAACATCACAGCATAACAACTGTAAGAAAAGAATAAAACACATATAGAAACTACATATATTGCACACATGATCGCTGAATAATAAGTGCTCGTTCATCTCCAGTCCCTTTCGAAACAGAGGATTGCAGCCTGAAATGTCCTATCTTACATGAAAAAAGACAAAATGTCCGCTGGGTACTTCTCGCGATTATTATGAAATCTTCTGAGCGCTCAAACTAGGACATTTATATCTTCTGCTATCGATCCACTTTCTCGAAAAAGTATGCCTGTACGAACAGTTTGCTTTGGAGTGAATTATCCGTCCAACGCCACGTAAAAAATGCTCTTTTCGAACCGTATCTTCCTCTTATTTGTTTGTTATCACTTAATGTTCGCAATGGTGCTGCTGAGGAATCCAATTAAACACAGAAATTATTTTCTGTCCAAGTAGCATTTACAATTAAATTTTATAACTGGATTAACCTTCTCATATGAAAGATAAATGCATTATTATGTACTCCTTTTTTTACTGCAAATAAATTTACAACGTCGTTTTGTTATTATTTCTACTATACTATGATATATTATTAATTTTTCTAAAATCTCGGTATTTACAAATTATTTTAATTAATTTTATATTATTGCGGTTCCTTTGATAATAAACATTGAAACAATACTTTTTTTATTCAATTTTTTTTTCTTTTTAAACGTAACATGTATTAATTATTGCCTCTATGTTTGTGTAAGTAAAATTCATTTGATGTGCATTTTTCTTTCCTCTTCCAAAAATTTATTGCCTCAATAGATTTATCCACCTTGCACAAAAAAAAAAAAAAAATTCACAATTTATGCGAACGTAAAAATAGACTCTCCTTCTGCCACATCTAATTGGGGTCATATTTTTATCTTCTCCTAAGTTTTCAAAAAAAAAAGGAAGAAAATACAACCACCTATTTGATTCGTAAGAGTAACTCCTTTCCCAAGTGTAAAAAGTAACCTCTTCCTGAACAGGCTAGACATTCAAATATGCTCAGCCTCTTTGGAGACGAAACACTTAAAATGAGAACGCGAGAGGGGCAGAAGGCCATTGCAACAATCCTAAATGGGTAAAGCTGCGAATGGCTACTTACCTTCTTCAAAACGATTTCCCTTAATTCATCTGTGAAAATGCGGAGGTTGTGAGGAGGGGGAATCGCTCCTTAAAGCCCTGCTTCTTCTACATTTCGCCATTTTGTAAAGACGATCAAATAATATCGCTTTAAAGTTGTTTTATCTCAAATGGAAGTATGCAGAAATTGTCAACACCCCAATCAGGTGCTTCCCCATATGGGGCGCTTGACCCCTTCTCCACATGCTGGATGCACACTCCAATGGTGGTAAAGGGCACTCTTTGCTATTTTAGGACACCCATTGCGAAATGGAAAGGAGCGGCGCGCTTTTTGAAAGGTGCCGAAAATGGGGACCGCGCAGTAGCAGCTAAACGGAAATAAAAAAAAAAAAAAAATTAAAACATAGTCACAAAACCAAAACGTCAATCACTAAAGTGAATTTCCACTGCCCAATTTAGCTCACAATTTAAGTCAACCTTCCTTCCTCCCCGTCATCGCGAAGCCTTTTCAAACGACCCGCGCGGTTTATCGACACATTTCTGCTAACCTCCTGGGGAAGGCAAAGGACACGCGGGTTGTGAGCAGGCCATGTGTACACGTCCATACACGGCGACACAGTGCCAAAGGAATTACTTCAGCTTCGATTCTTTTGCTTCCAAAGTGAGTACAAATAACACCAAAAGAACTACATCCATTAGGTGAAAAAACAGAAAAACAACACGAAAGGGATTTCTAAGAATGAGGAGGACATCCCAACCAAGACGCACAAAATTAATCATCTTTCCCTGTACCACAGCCTCTCCTCACGTTTTGAATTCATCTCCACTCCAATTGGAGCTACTCTCAACATCTGACTTCTGGGTTCATGTACCGGAAGCTGCTGAAGCGCCTATATATGGGATCACCTCATGGCGGTGTACAACAGCAAAAGCGCCTTCTCGCTCGGGGGAAGGCAGAGGAATATTCTATGTGCTCTCCTAAAGTGGGAATCACCCTGAGTGTTAAAAATATGCCCCATTTGGCAGTTCCACACTTTGACCCACTTGTAGAAAACTGCTGGAAAGTTTCTGTGCTTCACTTGCACAAAGTTATCGCTACACCTTCCTGTTGGCTCCACTTCCATGTGTCGAATAACCGCAGGGGCGTCGGTGACTGAGGAATCGTAATCTTCTTTCAAGTGGAAACTCCATGTGAAACAGAAATTAACAAATGAGTAAAGAAGCACTCAATCATGTGCCTCCTTAAATACCATCCTTCCTTCTCTACTGTAACGAAAAGCGAAATGGCGAGGGGAGAGGGAAAAAGGATACCTCCAAGGCTAATGAATAATATCTCCTCAGGAAGAACCACTCCACACAAACAGCCGTAGACCCTTTTATCCTTTTTATTCCCTTATTACATTTTCTCGTGATTCTCCAATCATAAACGCTCCACCGTTCAGATATGTGCGTGGAAGTTTACATATGTTTGGTGAGTCCCTCCTACGCGTTGTCTTCACCACGTAATTCTTCCATCCCCCCGTTGATGCCTCTGTCCAGGGCTTCATTCCTTCCCTCATCAAGGCTCTCATTCATACTATCATACAAGCTATCACTTATACTGTTATCAAGCCCCTCATTCATACTGTCACACGAGCCCTCACTTCTACTATCATCAAGGCTCTCATTCACACTGTCATACCACCCCTCGCTTCTACTATCATCAAGGCTCTCATTCACATTGTCATACCACCCCTCACTTCTACTATCATCAAGGCTCTCATTCATACTATCATACAAGCTATCATTTATACTGTTATCAAGCCCCTCATTCATACTGTCACACGAGCCCTCACTTCTACTATCATCAGGGCTCTCATTCACACTGTCATACCACCCCTCACTTCTACTATCATCAAGGCTCTCATTCACACTGTCATACCACCCTTCACTTCTACTATCATCAAGGCTCTCATTCATACTGTCATAGAAACCGTCACTTCTACTCTCATCAATGCTCTCATTCATACTTTCATAGAAGTTCGCACTCCTGCTTTCGCCTAAACGTTCATTCCTTCTCTCATCCACACCTCCATCCGTAATCTCGTACCTCACGCTATCCCTACTCTTGTATCCAACGCTATCCCTACTCTTGTATCTAACGCTGTCCCTCCTTCCGTACAGACTGCTATCCCTACTTCCGTACAATCCATCATTTCTTCTGTCGTACAGGCCCACATACAACCTGTCTTGTTGTCTGATACTCCTATTATCATACTCCCTAGCACCCCCGCGATGTGCCCCCGCCCTGGGGTAGGGCCGACTAAAGCGCCTGCTCGAGTACGTCCTAAAAAAGTTAACCATCTTGCTGCGCCAGTAGTTGTCTATTTCCATCCTGCGCTTGTTCCACACCCTTCTGGTTCGATCTATATATCTAAGGAATCGAATCTTAGAAGATGGGCCATGATTCAGAAAACACAAAAAATGTTTATGGTGCCTTCTTTCAAATCGAAGAAAAACAGAAGTCATACATCTGTGCACGTGCATCCAAACTCTGATCCTAACATTCTCTGGAATATCAAAGGTCTCGACTAAATCATCGCAGAAGTTCTTTGCTCTTTCTTGCATGTTAATGTATTTCTTCCTTTCTTGTCTATGCACATTACTCCACAGAATGAACATCTCCTTAACGCTAACGTGACTGTCTAGATTTCCAAGCCTCCAATTGATATCCAATTCAGATAACTCCTTTAGGAAGTCAGCATCTGTGCAACCATAAGGGCATATATCATACGAATTTCTAGGTCTGTATTTCCCTCGGCGTAGCCACTCTTGTCTTGTCCACATTTCGTTAAAATAGTGATCCATCTCGTCCCTGTCGCTACCTATATAGCTACACTCTTCCCACTCTGGTTCGTCTTCCAGTACTCTGTGGTTTATGTTGGAGCTCTGGATTTCCTGCATTCTATTAGACCCACCAAGAAGTCTGCCCAATCTTCTCGCCCTCCTGCGGCCTCCTCGGCTCATCAGTTTTGTCTGCAACGTGGTTTGAAATTACAAAAATATGAAGAGTGCCCCGAGTGCGCGAACAAAAATGTAATATGTGCAACCTCAGCGAGGAATAAGAAGCAAAGGAAATCGTCCAACGGTAAAGCGGCACATCGAAAAGGTAAGCGACGACGAATCGACACACTGCAGAGATCCTACACAGAGTTCACCCACCTGGGGCACACAAAACAGAAGAAGCACAATGAAAGCACTGATCACCCCGAGAAGTGTAAAACCACTTTTGAGGGCCTTTTTCATCCTTCCCGGAAAAGCGACAGAAGGGGTCTTTCCATTCTTCTCATTCCACCACCATAATTTTCTTCCACTTAGGCAAATCCTTCCGTGACATGTTTCCATAATAACGTCCTGAACAAACGCGAGTGGGTGAAAAGGAAGAAAAGTCAAAAGGGGACTTCCCCAGGGGTGAACATCGCGCTGGTAGGATACCGCATGCGCATGCATATATAAACACCTGAATGAACGGCCTCCACCCCCCCCATTGCGGCTGGCCCCCTCAGACCCCGCTAAAGAGTACCCCACCTGGCGACAGAATATCACACCAAAGGAGGCAAATCTACGTCTTTCTAAACAAAAATTCGCCCCAAAATATCTCCGATGAGGTGGGACAACGGATATGACCCTTTCTAAATGGCAAATTGCCAAAAGGGCTGCTACAACGCATCCCCGAAAAATGGTGAACAAAAAAGTGGATAAATCCGCAGTAGTTTCTTTTTTTCATTCTCATAAAAGGAGAACCCAGGTTTTTATTTTTTTATTCAGAGTGGCTCGTCTTTACTTTTTTAATTATATAAACAAAAAAAAAGAAAAAAAAACACAATAAAACATATTAAAACAGAATATAAAACGTACCCCAGTACAACCAAATAAGAGGAGGCAGAACAAAATAAGGCATAACAAACCAATTTAGCCGTGCAGCATAGAATAGAATAGCAGTCCAACCCGCCCACCTAAGTATTCGACAAGTTTAGCCGTTTTACGACAAAACTGCCATGAGGAAAGGTAATAAAAAAAAAAAGAAATAATAAAGTAAATAAAGATGCAATATAACGACGATGCTTGTAAAAAGGGCTTCCCCCCTATACATTCATCGGAAGATTAGTTCAATTTATTCTCAACCGAATCTTCGCTCTTTTCGTATTACATATCGTTCTATAGCACCGAAATGGCATATATAGCAGTTTGGATTTCTCAGCGCAGTTCCGCCACAATCCGAGTAAAACTTATCTAATACCCAAATGGGTAGGGTAGTAAAAAAAAAAAAAAAAAAAATTATGCCAACTTCCAACAATCATTATGTTCACTCGATTAGCCGCCTTATTAACTCCGTTTATCCCCTTTTAACTCCAGAATTTGGATCGACCTTCTCTAGTCGCAAGTGAAACCATCAGATTGGATAATCTATTGCGAACCCTTCAGCGCGGCTTCCTGATCTGCGTCATTTCGCCAACCCCGCTTTCCACAAAAGGGGAAAAAATCCTTTCCCATCAAATAATAATTTTTTTTTTTTCCTCTTGGGGGAAGTGGAACAGGGTGTAGATCGGGGACACTTCCGTAAGTAAGCACTGTTCAAACCGCCCTTAGCAAACATAAGGCAAGAATGGTTACCCCATACACCCGGCCCACCTCTGCTGGCATTGTAAAAACAGCTAGCTCGTACCAGGTGCAGGTAACGTAACACCCCATGAGACTAAATAACTTTTAATTTTCCTCACTTAAAACGTGGTGTAAAAAACTTTCTTTAAATTTCTCTCTCAAAAAAAAATGTTAGATATCGGAATAAAAAGATAGAAACTCCTATATACATATGCACACGTGCGCGTGTGTACCCGCACGTATGCACGAGGAGTTATATAAGAGCGCAAAGCTGTAATAACATGGTAATAGTAGTTGCACAAAACATGCGCACTCTCCTAGTAATCGCAGCGGACACAGGCGCCCAGCCCCCGAAAGGGCTGAATCATCACTGACTTAGCAGAGTGTGTCTGTCTCAACTGGTTCACCAGTTGATCTGCGCATGTAGGAAAAACCCCAAAACGGGGGGAACCTAAGGGTACACGGTATAGAAAAAATTACAGAGTCATTCGCGGGGATCGCTGATTAGCATGTAATCTGTCACTAGTCATCCACTTTACACACAGGTGCATAATAACGGAGGTAGACACTTCTCAGCGGTAAGTTCTCAGTGTAGCTCAGCCAACCTGCGCCACTGCGCATAATCATATTTCCTCTCTCATAGGCGATCCCACGGAATTACTCAGAGAGCTCTCCATCTCAATTTACAACACGGTTGAAACGAGTGCGCCTATGCACACATATAAGTATACTTGGCTTCTTCTCATATTAAAGGGTACACCCTACAGCGGACCTCGCCTCAGGGAAGTGACTCCTGCAGTACTAACATCTCTATTGTAAATTCCTCATCCTAACTTTTGCATTATAACTTGCCTATTATAACTTCCCCATTGTAACTCCTCAATTCACGTCGGCCAAAAAGCGTTGGTATGTGTCAAGCCTTGTGAAGATGATTTTCTTCCAGTAGTTATACATGATGATCCTAAACTTGTTGGACTTATTCTTGTAGTTATTTAAGAAGTCGATAAATATCCATCGGGGGGGCCTTCCATCCTTCAAAAACCAGTGGATATATTTCGTGAATCTCTTTTCGTATCGTATAAACACCCTATTCATAAATCGATGGACCTTTAACCATTCCTGATCTTTAATTTCATGAGGGATTTCACAGGCATCAGCTAGGCAATCGCAGTAGCTCAGTAACATGGTCCTCATGCTATAAAGCTTTTTCTTCTCATTATCATTTACATAATTCCATATGGTGTACATATCCCTCAAATCTAGAGAAGGCAAATTGGAGATTTTCTCATCTAGCCCTTCTTCAGATATGGGTTGAGATAGATCTGAGTTCCTACAACAATAAGAGCAGCCATTATTAAAAGGGTAGTAAATGTTTCCTACAGAATCCCATTTTCCCGAATTCTCACTAGCCTTCACATTATCATGGTCATGTTGGTGATTCATACTTCCATCTAATTTATTGGGGTCTGAAGATTCTAAATCGACTAATAATTTCTTCGATGGATCATCCACAAGATCGACAGAATCATCGTGCATGAGTTCTTCATCTCGGTTTACCATGTTGTCTTCCACAGGGTCCCCCAAACCATTCTTTGCCGTGCCGTCTAATCCGTCCTCCACTGCGTCTTCCACTGCGTCTTCCACTGCGTCCTCCACAGCATCTTGTACTGCATCCTCCACTGCATCTTTCACCCCATCACCCAAGCAGTCATCTATAGTCTCTTCCATATCATCATCTAGATGATCGTCCAGAGCTTCCTCCACAGAATCTTTTAACGTTTCGTCTGAACTATCGTTCAGCATCTCTTGAACGTCGCCACTTACAGTTTCCTCCACTGCGTCTTCCACAGTGTCTTCAGTTGCGTCACTCACACCATTGGCCAACAGATTGTCTAAGGGATTGTCCAACGGATTGTCCAAGAGATTGTCCAAGAGATTGTCCAACGGATTGTCCAAGAGATTGTCCAATGAATTTTCCGACAGATTGTCTAAGGGATTGTCCAACGGATTGTCCAAGAGATTGTCCAAGAGATTGTCCAACGGATTGTCCAAGAGATTGTCCAATGGATTTTCCGAGAGATTGTCCAATGGATTTTCTGAGGGATTGTCCAATGGATTTTC